CTGTATATACATGCAAAAGAAAGTATATAGTAGCGAAAAACAAAATGTGCACAGAAAACGAATTTTATTCATTACCTATTTTTACATTATATTGATTTACCTACTGTATACCTACTTTTGCACCCCCTATATTTATACATACATACATATATATATATATATACTTGAAGGTGAAAAGTCGAAAAAATTGATTTTTTACACTTTGCGCAAAAATCAATTGCAAAATTTAATGTCTGTAAAAACAGCGTCCAGTCAATTTGTTGAAATTTAACGCAGAGAATTATTAGAATTGTGGTTCCTTCCAAATTGACATGATTGGGGAACACAAATTGTTGCCCTTTTCTTAAACCCTCCAATTTCAAAAATTGTTACCCCCACCTCCAGTAATATATATTGGGGATATATATCATTATTATATCTATTGTATATATATATAATATATGATTTTAGATAGGTGAGGGACCTGGGACTTTAAACTTAAACTGATTACTGTTTTAAAAATTGAACGGCAAAAATTCTCAGTAATGGGGAATTACGTCGTTTTGGTCATTCAAAACGGGTTATACATATAATATATAAATAATTATATATATATATATATTTATTTATATTATCTATTATATATATATATATATATATATATATATATATATATATATATATATATATATATATATATGGGATAATATATACATATATAAGCTAAATATCTATATTATATGAATATGTATTTTATGTTAATATATCTTTCTACATTATAAAAAATGTCATCATCATCATCATCATCATCATCATCATCATCATCCCTTGACTTTTGCTCCTGCCCTTTCAACAAATTTGTTGGTCAAGTCCTGAAACTCACTGTTACTACTTGCTATGAGGTCAATGCCATATTATATATATATATATATATATATATATATATATATATATATATATATATATATATGTATATATATGTATAAATATGTATAAATAAATGTAAAATAATAGAATCTGCCGTCAGTTTCGAAGTATGAGGATCTGACAACTTAACCAATTGATTCAGTTATGAAATTTTGTGTGATAATCTTAAGTGGCACTTAGGACCCGCTAGTGATTTACAAACGAGGCTTCATATGGAGCCAGAGTAATGGAGATCACCGTTAGATTGGCTGACCTTTTAGAACTTGCTCTCGCTTCACGCGAAACCCATAAATTACAGTATCAGGATAAAAAATACATTTTATATATATATATATATATGGGGGAGAGAGAGAGAGAGAGAGAGAGAGAGAGAGAGAGAGAGAGAGAGTGTGTGTGTGTGTGTTCCGGTTGATTATTGTTATTGCCTGACTACTCTGTAGCGGATTTTGGTACTGAAAATATAATTATATATATATATATTAGACTACCCCTTGGGTCACTGACTGTTCAGTTTATAAAATATTGAAGTTGATTTCAACATTCCATCGAAATGAAAGTTAATTTTATTATGATTCAGATAAATATTTCAATACGTTCGTGTCATCATTGATCTGGTTTACAAGTTCATTTTTAACGTTTTACTGATTGTTTACAGCATTCAACAGGAATCGAACTTCCGGGATAAACTTTAAATCAGATTAATTTAAAAATATTCTTTAATATGCCAAAATATATTTTTAAATCATATTCACTTGAAATTTTTTTTAAATATGCCAAATAATGTTTTAATTATTTAAAATATTGTTTGTTTAAAGAAAGCTGAAATATAGATAATTACTCTACAAACAAGCGGGATCTCTTTGTACCTGTCTTTAACTTAAAGATATTTTAATTAAAAAATTGTCTGTGAGAAGAAAGTTAAAATAAAAATACTTACTGTATAAGCAACTCGTATTTTTAAATTTTATTCACTTAAATATTTTTAAATCAGATTAAAATATATATTTTTTAAATATTTAAAATATTGTTTGTTGAAAGAAAGCTGAAATACAAATAATCAACTTAAATCATTATGTGCCGAACGGACGCACCACGCAAGCACGCACCCAATCACAAACTTTTAGTATTACACACACACACACACACACACACACACACACACACATATATATATATATATATATGGAGAAAGAGAGATTGAGAGAGGGAGACATACAGACAGATAGATAAAAAAAGCGGTTGAGCGAAATGATGAGAAACGGACGTGAGGCCGAGAAAATAATTCATATAAAATCTATTCCGGGTGTGTCTTTCGAATCGAATTTCTAGCACCGATATTGACTCCAGCCTTTTCCTATTGAATCGAAGTACTTGATAAAATGGATTCCCTGTTGACTTGTCGGCTGCAATGTCGACAGCGAACGACATCTTCCGCGCCGGAAACAACTCTTGCTTAATACTCTACCAATATTTGACTGCTGTAAAGCTACACCGATATTTACTCGCTTGTGCTTCTCATACAAGTGTCCCTGCGCATCGCGGACATTTCCACCTTTTTATTTTTATTTTCATGATCCGGACAATTGTCGTTGGTTCATTCATGATATTCTTGTAATGGGTTTGGTTGTCGGAAGGACTGTTAGATTGGGGAGTGCGCTTGGGGATAATTAATCAGAAAATCAATGTGGGATTATTTTTCTGGCTTTTTGACGCGGAAGCAGAAAAATGAAAGATTGAGATGGTTGTGTTGTCCGGCTTGAACTCTGCGTTATTTGTTGCTTTCTACTAATTCGATGGTAGAAGACAACACGGCACAAATGAAGTGAACTCTTGCGGAATTAATAAGCTAATGAATAAGAAATAAAATCAGACATGGTTGAACATGAAGACAATGACCAAACGAAGCGAGAAAAGCAAAGAGGAAAAAGTATGAGAACGAGTAACAAACGGAAAAGTGGAAAAAAAAGGATTAAACAAATAAGAAAGAAAGAGGAATTGTTTAATCGATTCATATATTCCCTGTATTATCTTTTAGACAATGTTAAAGAATTCTTAGAAGTGTAATTAAAGTTCACAATGCTATGTATTCTTGGTTGAACCAATAGATCATATCAAAGTTTTCCTTTTTAAACCATCAAATGTATGGAAAAAAACGTCGGTACAGATGCTTTGAAATCGTTTGAAAATCGTTCGAAGCTAACACCATGGGTCTGCTTCCGTAGTTTGGCGTAAGTGGAGACATTTACCAAGATAATGAGCAGAAAAGAATATTTTTAATTTTGTGTGTCTACCACTTGGTCCCACCTTATCAAATTTCTACATGAACCATAGAGAAAAGAAAGTCTTTAATAATTTTGCTAAGCCCTTCATATGCTGATATATTGATGAGATGTTCATATTAACTAAAAACTTTGATGAAATGAAAAAAAGAAAACCTTAAAGTGACCTCTGATAATACCTCCGTCCGTCATTTTACTTATAAACTCAGGATTAAAAATAGATTGCATTTCCTTGACGTTCTATCAAATGCTAATAATACTGATTTTATAACTTCACCATACAAAAATCTCAGTAAACATGGACCTTCATGCCTGCTAAAAAACGGCGTGTCAAAAGGACAGTTCTATAATTTTTTTGCTCTTGGGAACAGTCTAAAACAGTTCCTCAGAGGTGGACTACACTATAAAAGAATGTATTATATTTAATCACTAATCAATGTTTTTTCATCTTCGTTAACAATTTTTATAGAAAAAAACTCTCCTCTTTGTTTCGATTTGGCTATTTTTTGAATTATTGGAAAGTGGTTCTTTCAAAAATATTTTGCCACAGAATACTTATTTTAGATACAGAGATGATTCTCCATTAGTATATCAACAAAGTTTTACCCGACCTTCTCAAGAAACTGAATAATAATGAAGTCGCAATAGATTTTACCTTTGAATCTGAATCTAACAAAACATTATTCTTCCTAGATATTATGCAACATAGAACTATTAACAACCTCAGTTGGAGGTTTACAGAAAATCTACTAGCAAAAATGATCTTATCAACTTTTATTCCCACCACTGCAACAGGATAAAATCTGGAATAATTATAGGTTTTATTTAAGAGCACTAAGAATCTGCAGCCCCTAATACTTACCCAAAGAAGAAATATACAAAGAAACCACTTTCAAAATCCATGAATATCCTCATTATTTCATCCACAATGCTAAGAGATAGAAATACAAAATATACAACCGCAAAAAGATAATAACATTATTAACAATGTATTATATATTTATACGTATTATTATTATTATTATTTGATACTCTTATTAAAAAAATATTTACATTTTAAAATGTTGCTTCATGTGGCGATGTTTGTTCTGTATAACAAAAGCTTCGTGTATTTTGTGTCTTTCCTTGCAACGAGTGCTATATAGTATTTTGATTTTATCTACTAATATTTCTATTATGTCTTAATTCTATTTTGGTTGATTGTAATGTGATGATCGATATGTGCACGAAATGCGCAGTGAATCTACGAGAAAGTGTGGTGCATGTGCGGCCAATGTAAGAATTTAATGTTGTTTGTTGAGTATTGATATTGGGGTCCTAACTTCTAAAGAACACGAGGCTTCATTAACTACATTATTTTTACATGTGCAGGATTTTTGAAGACCTGAGTTACTCGTGATAATTAGATAATATACTTTTTTATTGTAAACGACAAACCTAATATATTTGTTGAAATCATTGAGTGATATGTTCTGGTGAATTTTTAATAGCTTTTTCATTTTGAGGAAAAGAAGAAGGGAGGAAAGAAAGAAAAGTTTATTAAAATGAGAAAGAGAAAAAGAGAAAGAGAAGAAAAAATAAGAAGGGGCGAGATAAATAAATAAAGAAAGAAACGTTTGCTAAAATAGAAAGTGAGAGAGTGAAAATGAGGAAGAAAGAAAGAGTGAGATTGAAGAAGAAAGAATGAGAGAGAAAGAGAGTGAGGGGAGAAAGAAGAAAAATGAAAAGACAAAAAGAAGAGAAGAAAGAAAAGTTTATTAAAAAGAAGAAAGAGGAAGAGAAAGAGAGATCAGAAAGAAAGAAAAGTAAGGTTTATTAAAATGGAAAGAGTGAGTGAAAATGGGCAAGAGATAGAAGAAGAAAGAATGAGAGAGAGTGAAGAAAGAAAGAAAGAAAGAAAGAAAGAAAGAATGAAAGAAAGAAAGAAGCTATCGGGTACTTATCGTCTGCTCCAGTGAAATAGAAGAAAGAAAGAAAGAAAGAAAGAAAGAAAGAAAGAAAGAAAGAAGCTATCGGGTACTTATCGTCTGCTCCAGTGAAATAGAAGAAAGAAAGAAAGAAAGAAAGAAAGAAAGAAAGAAAGAAAGAAAGAAAGAAGCTATCGGGTACTTATCGTCTGCTCCAGTGAAATAGAAGAAAGAAAGAAAGAAAGAAAGAAAGAAAGAAAGAAAGAAAGAAAGAAAGAAAGAAGCTATCGGGTACTTATCGTCTGCCCCAGTGAAATAGAAGAAAGAAAGAAAGAAAGAAAGAAAGAAAGAAAGAAAGAAAGAAGCTATCGGGTACTTATCGTTTGCTCAAGTGAAATAGAAGAAAGAAAGAAAGAAAGAAAGAAAGAAAGAAAGAAAGAAAGAAAGAAGCTGTCGGGTACTTATCGTCTGCTCCAGTGAAATAGAAGAAAGAAAGAAAGAAATAAAGAAAGAAGCTATCGGGTACTTATCGTCTGCTCAAGTGAAATAGAAGAAAGAAAGAAAGAAAGAAAGAAAGAAAGAAGCTGTCGGGTACTTATCGTCTGCTCCAGTGAAATAGAAGAAAGAAAGAAAGAAAGAAAGAAAGAAAGAAAGAAAAGAAAGAAAAGAAAAGAAAGAAGCTGTCGGGTACTTATCATCTGCTCCAGTGAAATAGAAGAAAGAAAGAAAGAAAGAAAGAAAGAAAGAAAGAAAGAAAGAAAGAAAGAGAGAGATGGGTATAAAGAAAACGAAAGAGAGGGAAATCTGTTGGCGTTTCGTAATGATTAGCAGGTCACCCTGGTCGGCCATTACTGCTGCAGGGAATTACATTTTAATCAAATGTCGTCCATTTATGACAGATGAAGCGAAGCTCTTATTCACTAAGTTTGGTTTAAATTTGTCACACACATTGAACACCAGGTAAGGGTCGAACTCATTACTCACTAGTAATAGTCAATCAAGATGAACTATCAAATCAAACGTCGAGTCTACGAAAAGAAATTAAGTTTAGTGAATATTTAAGATATGTCGCCATGATGCCGTGGTCAGCAAGTAGAACAAAGTGGGTATAAAAAAAGAAATGGAGAAAGAGAATGTGATTATGAGAAAAAGAAATGAGAGTAAGAGAGAGAGAGAGAGAGAGAGAGAGAGAGAGAGAGAAAGAGAGAGAGAGAGAAAGAGAGAAGGAATGAAAGAAAGAAGCAGAAAGTAAATGATAGATCTAAACCGATTGAAATGGATAGATAGATAGAAACAGTCTAAGATATGTAGATAGATAGAATGATAGCCAGAGAGAGCGGGAGAGAGAGAGAAAAACATGAACAGAATGAATAGATATGAATAAGATTGAAATAGATATAAACAGAAACAGTTATGAACAAAGTTATATATATATATATATATATATATATATATATATATATATATATATATATATATATATATGAGCAGATAGTTATATTAATAAATACGAATAGAATTAGATAAATACGTATATAAATAAATAGATATGAAGAAATTGAGATAGCTATGAATAAATAGATATGAACAGACATAGACAGATAGATATCTATGAATAAATAGATACATATGAACAGGCATAGATAGATAGATAGATATAGATAGATAGATAGATAGATAGAGATAGATAGATACGAATAGAATTAAATAGATCGATAGGTATGAACAAACTGAGATAGGTATAGATAGGTTGATAAATATATATATAGATAAATAGAGAGATATAAAGAAATTGAGATGCGATGAATAAATACATACATACGAACAGACAGAAATAGATATGAATGGACTGAGATAGATAGATATGAATAAATTGAAATAGTTATGAATAAAATTAGATAGATGGATATAAACAGACTGAGCTAGATAGACAGATATGATAAAATGATATATATATATATATATATATATATATATATATATATAATGGACTCTCCGTCGGTTTCGACGTATGAGGATCTGCCAGCTTATTGATTCAGTTATGAAAGATTATGCGATAACCTTAAGTTGCATTTAAGACCCGCTAGTGATTTACAAAGGAGGCCACATATGGTGCAAGTGTGAGGATTGTGAGATGAGATCACTGTTAGATTGGCTGACCTTTTAGATCTTGCTCTCGCTTTTTGAAGATGATTCAGACAAGCAGATTGAAAATTGCTGAGCCCACTAAAACACGTTAATCTCCATTCTACCTGCTCCAAGGCTAAGCGCTCAAGGGTGTTATGTGGTATATTGACTGCTGACAAGTTGCTTTTCAGCTCGTCTTTGTATCTTAGCCATGGGCGTCCTATATTCCTGTAACCCTGGTCTAACTGGCTGTACATTAGGATCATGGGTATCCTGTCATCAGACATTCTCAAGACATGACCAGTCCACCGTAACTGAGACTGTATGATAAACGTCTCGATTCCTCCAATATTACATCCGTTAAACAGGTCTACATTAGATGTCCTATCTTGAAGCTTAACTCCACAGATTGCACGCAGACAGCTTTTATGGAAAACATCTAGTTGGCGTATATGGTATTTGTATGGAGTCCACGACTTTGAGTCATACAAAAGGATGGCAAGTACAACAGCTCTATTAACCCGAATTTTCGTATCTAGTCGAATACCCGGCTCATTCCACAAGCGATGGCGAAGTTTGCCTAAAGCACTGGTAGTCTTAGCAAACCGATGCAGGATTTCATCATCTAAAGTTCCACTGTAATTGACTTTGCTACCAAGATAGGTGAAAGACTTTTATATATATATATATATATATATATATATATATATATATATATATATATATGAATAGACTACGATAGATAGAAAGGTAGATATAAACAGACAGATAGATATGAACATATTGAAATAGATAAATGTGAACAGACTGTGATAGATAGATAGACAGACAGATAGATACAAATAGAATTAGATATGTATAAACAAATTGAGATAATTACATATATAGATAAATAGATAGATATGTAAAAATTGAGATAGCGATGAATAAATAGACAGATACGAACAGCCAGAAATAGATAGATAGATATGAACAGACTGAGATAGATAGATACGAATAGAATTAGATAGATTGATATGTATGAACAAACTGCGATATGTATAGATAGACTGATAAATAGATATATAGATAATAGGTAGATATGAAGATATTGAGATAGCTATGAATAAATAGATAGATATGGACAGATTGAGATAGATAGGTAGGTAGATAGATAGACAGATATGAATAAGCACACACACACACACACACACATACATACACACACACACACACACATATATATATATATATATGTGAAGAGTGGACGGACAGGTCCGTCTACAGCATTCTGGAGTCGGGATGCTGAATCAATCAACTAAGTGAACTTTTACTTATATTAATTCGCTCACACTCTCCTTAATATTTTCTTTTTCTTACACACTGAGGAACTCATTATATCTTAGTGGCTTTATTTCCTTGTTTGGGGGGAAATTATTCAAAAAATAGTTGTAGTTATTTGATAGAAGTATTCAGAATGCTACTTGACTAATCATGAACATTTGACTTGCCACTTGCTAAATATTATGAAAAAAAACATAGTATTAACTTAGGGTTACTGAAAAGATGTGATTAGTTACGGCTTTTTAAGTATGTATTTGTTTCGACAAGTGTTTTTTTCTGAAGATAAAAGACACAAAATCTTTCTCTATTCGTAATTTAAATTTCAATCACAGCGAAAAGACAGGAAAAGCTACTGAATCCCAATTACAAATGTAGTGCCGAGGTCTTTGAGACGCTAAAATTCTTATAAAAATGTTTAATGAAGAATCTGCAATGATATTTGTTCAGGCCTGGCCTTCCGGTTTCAGTCAATTTCCCACTGACGTAATATAGCTTCCTCTGTGAGTATTCGATAAATACTTTCATGATAATTGTTCTGATGAACTTTTCTACATTTTTTAAATCATTTCATCCCAAACAAGGCGAGTATGCCACTGGTACGCAGGGGATTACAGTGAGTGAAAGTGAGAGAAAAGACTGAGTAGAGGGAGGATTGAGGAAAGGACAAAAGATGAACGAGATTCAAGGAGATCGAAGATGGCGATTGACGCTGTATTTAAATTATGTTAATCATTTCACCCCAAGCAAGGCGGGAATGCCACTACAACGCATAGGGTTACAGGGAGTGAAAGTGAGAGAAAAAACTGAGTATAGGGAGGATTGAGGAAAGGACAAAAGATGAACGGAATTCAAGAAGATAGAATATGGAGATTGACGTTGTATTTAAATTGTGTTAATCATTTCACCCCAAGCAAGAAAGTAAAAGTGAGAGAAAAAACTGAGTATAGGGAGGATTGAATAAAGGATAAAAGAGGAACAGGATTCAAGAAGACAGAATATAGCGAATGACGAGCTTTTCTCCCTGTTGCCCCGACAACATGAATTTAAGCGTGCTACTTGATTGGCATTTAGGTCCCACTCGTTTACTGTTGAAATAGCTAAATGCAAGTCCCGTTACTACTCGAACAGTTTCTGTTCTCGCATTTCCAACATGTGGAACTCACTTCTGATTACTTGCTTCCTTGATAACTACAGTTTTCAGGGATTTAAATGCAACGCTTAAATTCATGTAATCAGGGTACCAGGGAGAAAAGCTTGTCAGAACAGTTGCCATGAGAATATTTGTAGAAAAGACAGACGGAAACCATGTCACATCACCGAGAAAGTGACTGAAGTCAAGATGCCAAGTCAGGATCAATTATATTCCAGATCATTCTTGGGATTTTGCCAAGAACTTCGAGATGAATAGCAGGAGCGCTAGACCAGATATGGTAACAGTAATAAATGCACGGGCGAATGGTGGATTTGTAAATGTGCAAGATGGACTCTGACGAGAAAAAATTTGTAAGTTGTTATTTTTATTCACCCCCTCCCCCAAAGATAAATTGTACATATGGGAACTACTTAGGACTTTATTGAGACCTAGAGGTATTATGGTAGCTGTAGTAAGAATGGTAAGCAAGAATGTATTGTTTTGGTGTAAGGAATACTGTGGTCAGTATTGGGTCAGTAATTTTGTCTAGCTAAGTTTAAGACAAGGCAGATTGAAAACCAACCTTCCCCCCATATCCCCACTTTTGGTCCATCTAAAACATTTTTGTATTTTCGAAATAAATTTTACTTTCCTATATTGATACTTAGACTTTATGAATTTAAGTGTAGTACTAGATGATGGCGGAGTACTAGATGATGGCGGAGTACTAGATGTGCGTTGTGGTTTAAGGGATATCGGCTCGGGGTGAGAACGCGGAGGGCCAAGTTCGAATTCCAGTTAAGTTTGTTAGATTCACTTGCACACAAATACCCTTTGGAATGGCATGAATCCATCTATTCTCCCCGCCACCAAATATGGGTTGAATAGCAGGACAGACTGGGTTACTTTTTAGCCTTTGTTTGCAACCAGTCTTCCGCAGAAAGAAATAAACACTTACTACGGGGTAAAAAACTGCCTTGTCAGTGATGTATCGAAAGATACATGATCGCACAAGTGTGTATCACGGATGGTACTTAACTGGCGGCAAGGTTTCATCATTTTACAGTCATAATGGCTCGACTAAACCGTAAATTCTATGCTAATAGTTTCTTCTATCGCACTTCTCGCTTGTGGAACTATCTTCCGGCTTCTTGCTTTCTGGACTTCATAAATTTAAATGCAATGTCAATTGTTATCTTCTGTCTTCTTAATTCTTGTTCTTTTATTGTTCTCTCTCCTTAATAGTAGTTTTTCTCATATTCTCTAACATTCAGTAAGCCCCTTGCGTCTTAGTGGCTTTATTGCCTTTGATCTTCAAAAATTTAAATGCAATGTCAATTGTTATCTTCTGTCTTCTTAATTCTTGTTCTTTTATTGTTCTCTCTCCTTAATAGTAGTTTTTCTCATATTCTCTAACACTCAGTAACCCCTTCCATCCTAGTGGCTTTATTGCCTTTGATCTTCAAAAATTTAAATGCAATGTCAATCATTATCTTCTGTCTTTTCTGTTCTTGTTCTTTTATTGTTCTCTCTCCTTAATAGTGTTTTTCTCATATTCTCTAACACTCCATAATCCCTTGTGTCTTAGTGGCTTTATTGCCTTGTTGGGATGAAATGATTAAAACAATAATACTGAGAAATATTTTCAATGAGAGTCACTTGTCAGAGCTCTGTGTTTATAAACTTAAGCAACTTGATGGAATTGTGTTGAAAATTGTGCCATTCTCCGCCTTGTTGATGAGTGCTGCCTCTGCTGCTACTGCTACTTGTGAATTTGGTGACATTATAATTGTGAGTTCAATCCCTGGGCCAGGCAGTGTGTACTTGGAATCAGTGGAAACGAGACGAGTAATAAGAACTAGACGAGATATCCCTCGACGTTAAGCCCGGAACGAGAACAATCTACACCCAGTAAATTAAATAAAGGGTTCAGTTTGAAATTTCCTATGGTTTACGCGGATCGACAATCACCTGAAAAATGTCAAAACGATGTGATAACAACAACAAAGATGAAGACAATTCCGGTTTACACGCCTAAACGGTTTTTTTTGAACAGGAATAGAGATTTATTCCTTGTTTCCTCTTGGGTTTTCGGTTCTTTTAAAATCGTTTTCATTCTCTTTCAGTGCTAGTAGCCATTTGCGTCCTAGTGGCTTCATCGCATCAAAATGGAAGCATTTTATGTAAAAGTTGTCCTTCGGTATGGTTTATGGCCAGATGGCAAGATAAGAGAAATATTTGGAATAAATCACAAATCACAAATCCCCAAAATACACAAGCATTAAATTACATCACTTAGCATCCTCCATAATTTACCTTGACCTTCAGTGACCCTGAACTTAACCTTATGAACGTTCTCCAATTTAAAAATTCTAAAAAAACTAACAACATTTTTACTTCTGTTTATAAATACTTGTTGCAAAAATTAAATCCTTACATTTGGCTTAATCAGAGGACGAAACGCGTTGATTTAAGATAAATTTTCTTTTTTGTTCGTATATATATATATATATATATATATATAGGGTGTTTCAAAAAGAATACGCCAAAATCATTACGCTGTTTTTTCAGGTCTATAGCATTGTAGTGGACTGAATCAGTGGTTATTTGATAGAGTAGTTATCAAAGTTTGATTGGGTGTCAGTTTCACCGCTGTCTTTGGTATAACTTCCGGTGCAGCTACAAACAGGACAAACCTATCTCGAAATGCTCCAAAACTGGCTATTCACTTTACTGCAAGCAGATTCGAATGACTTCATTTTTTTAGCAAGATGGAGCACTACCCCATTGGCATCTCAGGGTTAGAGCTTATCTGAATGAAAACGTGCCTCAGCGATGGATTGGGAGGAGAGGTGCTAAAGACCTTGCTCTCTGTGCTTGGCCTGCCAGATCCCCGGACCTCACTGTGTCTGACTTTTTCTTGTGGGGGTATGTTAAAGACCAAGTTTATGTTCCAGCACTTCCAGCAAGTATCGATGACTTGAAAAATCGAATAACAGCTGCAATCAACACGGTGGACCATGACATGCTGAGGCGCGTTTGGGAGGAATTCTCATATCGGCTTCATGTTGTCCGCGCTGCCGGTGGTGGCCACATTGAGCACATATAAAAGATGAAATGAAAATTGAATGTATATATAACACATGTGTTCATGCTAGAGGTTTGTAATTTTTTTCGTTTTTGACATATCACGTGATGATTTTGGCGTATTCTTTTTTAAACACCCTGTATATAAATCCTAATGAACCAGGTACTACCTACCTAGTTTTCATCACATGGGATCATTATTATTTTACTTTTGCTCTACTTAGTGTATTGAGCACTCTTTGTTTTAACTTATTACTCGCTTTTTTTTATCTTTGTACCAGAGATTTGAGGTACTGGAAGATTTCTTTCGCCCTGGTCAGAGGTTTCTGCTGCTTTTTTCTTTTTTTTTTTTCCATTTTTCCTCGGATGCCAGTTTATTTGAACATTTTGCTATCCCTGTTTTTTTTTTTAGCCACCGAGTTTAAATAGATTTACATTATATATATATATATATATATATATATATATATATATATATATATATATATAAGCGAATCCTAAGGTTTT